CGAGTGGATAAATAAACAAAAAATATACATAAAAACCATGAATTCTTCATATCTCTTTTGTTAAATGCGTTGACCAACAACAATTCGTGATTGTTGTGCGTTTATAGCCTTATATTTAACTATACAACTCATTAAGTGTCGATTTTTTAGAAGAAGCCAACACCCAAAGGCAACGTCCTCAACGTAAACAAAGACTGATATGTATTTATAACTAAAACCATTATTGAAAAAAGTTAAAGAAAGATAGATTAAAATCACATCTAAGAACATCCATTCAATTGACTTCGTGCCACTCGCTAGATTGAATCAACCTTCTTTTTTTCTAAACAATAACTTATCATTGCTCAGTTCGGTGAAGCTCAATGAAAGCTCGCTCAACTAGTTACAGATTAACCTACAATTATTTAAGTTATGCTTGGTGTTCCGGGTTCAAATAAATCAAATATTTAGAATCTAGAATTTAAGGTTCCTTCCACTTCTTCGGGTCAAAAGTATCGGATGTTAACTAGACTAAAACGACGTATTGAAGTAGTGGAAACGTGTATTTTTATCGCTTACACCGTTACAATTTTTTGATTACTATAGTTTGATCTGTGACAATGACTTCTTTACACTCTCCACTGTAAAAAACTAAGAACATTACAGAGCGTAAACATCCAGACACTATTTTAAAATTGATAAAAAAGTATAATTATAACGCTTGGACGATTGAATAAAGACAAAAAAGAGGGAGAATCCTACTATATTCAGGTCATTTACAGTTAAGTCGTAAAGACATAGTTGTTGTGGTTCATGTAAGAATTTAATGTTTCATCTTGACAGACCATTAAATTCTCTTGGGATCATTGTTAAAGAGCAAGTTGTATCGATCTACAAAATTTCTCAAAATGATGAATGAGAGAGAGTCAGGGTTCGATTTCTGCAAGAAGACCACCATGATGAACGAAATGGAGTAGTGAGAATATATTTATAATAAATATTATTCAATGCCGACCGTACTGATACTTTATTTTTCTAGGCAATTTTTGGCCTGGAGCCAATGCTTCTGCCTTCAAGGTTGGTCATTATAGTTTGGAACTCATCCTGAAATGTTCTAATAAAAAAAAGAAGGGATGCACTTGACTCTTTCAGTAGCGGTGATGGAGAAGTTTTAGAATAAATGTCTGCATGTATTAAAAACATATCGAGAAATGGCTTTTTTCGAGAGAACAGAGGATAAAAAAAAAGTAAGAAAATGACTGTAATTTTCTATTCGTTCTGGAACAAAGCGAATTTTCCGATTTGTTTAAATTCTGTCTGTCTAAAGAAATGGATGAACTTACGTTTAATCGATGAAGATATTAAATTTTATTGTTTTAACGTTATTATTATTTTAATGTCTGAATATAAGCACGAAAATTATTTAAATTTTAAGATATTTTATTCGTTTTATGAATCATTATTACGTAAAATTCCTACGCAATAATCATTCATCAGTTTTATAAAATTTATGATCTGTTATTACGAAAAATCGTGACATAATAATCAATTTTCTAAATTATAATTTTTAATATTATGGCTATTTTTATACATTTTTAAATTTCTATTCGTTTTCTAGACTATTCTTACGAAAATTTGTGATGCAACCATCATTTTTAACAATTATTTCGTCAATTTTTTACAAGGAATTCGTGAAATTGACGTCATAAATTTTGAAAACTATAATAATAGTATTATTAAGTCACAGTAAAAATCAGTCATATTTCATATTTTCTTTGAGATTTCTATTTAACGTTCGAATAAATTTCTCCATGTGATGTCATACGTAGAAACAATTACTAGCGAATTTCTGTTCTTTCTTCACTCCACCCAATTAACTCGGGATTGTTAGATTGCTCCATTTTATGGCACCACAAAAATATTTTTAAAATCTCTTTTGTCTTTAATTTACAGTTTATTTTTTTGCTACATTTATTTACTGACTTATACAATTTTTGCAATTTTTTTAAACTTACTCTCCACCTTTTTATGAGTCGAGTAAAATTTTTAATATATTTTAGCCTTTATGCAGGTTGCATCAGTGCGTATTATAACAGCTAGAGTTAGTGTAAAGATATAAAATATTTTTTTATGGCGTTAACGTATTGAATATTACGATTAAATAGGTGGAAAGTAAGAGAATTGGTGTCATCTTGTTGATTTATACTAAGCGTGATGGCTTAGATACGCCCCTTCTACATTTCATATCATGGTTACTCCCTGCACTGACCACTTTTGAACTAGCTCTATATATCACAAATGCGACCTTCCAGTGAATAATTCCTTCTTTTTTTAGTATGTAACGCAGGTGAAGGACCTCGAATGTTGTTTTTTTTCTGTTTATTTATTTTTTCCCCTATATAAATATATATCTGTACGCTTCTCTCACTTTTTCTTCAGACTTTTCGCTAAATGACAACGTAAAAAAACGTAGTTCTGTGAGCCTCCATGCGGAAATTTAGCTCAATTTGTGAAGTTTGAATCTTTTTATGTCATTTTTAGTGGTGTAAACAAGTTTAATACGTAGGATACGTGTGGGTTTTATCAGTAGGAAATAGCCTAATACGTTCCTATCCTTCCTGAATTTCTTGAAAGTCTGCGGATTTTTCTTTTATTTTGTATGCATTGTTACTATACACCGAATTTCGTTAACCATATTTTGTAAAAAAAAAAAAATCGATAGACATGTTTATAAATTTAATGCGAAACTCGACTCGTAAATTGATTTTATTGCTTATTTTTTCAATTATAATCGTAGAATAAAGTTTAAATAAAGAATATTTATAACTTATTTGTTTGTTAAAGTACAGTATATAGCAACTCACGCGTAATGATATTACGTAAAGTCAAATATTATCGAATTTCAACTCATTGTTTATCTTTGAAGAGTCGTGAACATATATTCAATATATATATATATATATATATAAAGATATTTATAAAATGTTTTTCGTGTTTAAAAAATCAATGAAAGAACAAAAAAACCATGCATTTTTATTAAAAAATTTACAAATTTTATTACAAAATTATGTTAATTTTTACCTCGTGTCCCTAATGCCATACTTTTTAAACATAAATATATATTCATTTAGAATCTCCGTTTGTTTAAACAGAATATAATTTAAGTCAAGAAACAAAGATTCTATAGAAAAATCTTATCTTCATTTAGCCAATATATTCATGAATGAGGCAAGTGTAATCTGGAAAAAATCTCCTAAAATTGCAAGAACAAAGAAACTCTCTAAAAGTCACGTTTTCTAGCGATGACTGTTTGAGAGAGTCGGCACTTAACTCAAAAGTAGAAGATGCAAGTAGGAAGTAAACCGTACACGACCACGTCCTTCTTAAGTTTTTTTTTTATTTTTGTTATCATCCTTTGCATGTAGAAGTGGTCTGACCGGTGAGTCTGTGCCAGTTCAGATCTTTCACCTTTCTCGTCACGTGATTTCTCTAGTATAGCAATATCTTGCATACAGAATACACGGTAAGTCAGTTATTATACAGTTTTTTACCACTCCGCATCCAAAAGAAAATCTTCAAATCTCCATAAGTGTGCCACGTGCTCTTAAAGGATCCCTCGTCTAAAACGACTTCCAAACGGTATAATGGTGTTTTCAAATATTGAATTAACCAGTTGAGCACGTATAATAATCATAACGGGGGTGGTTTAATGATAAAATTATTTAAATTTTATTAAAATAATTGCCTATTTAACCTAGATCTGTTTGAATAGATTATACAGTCTGTTTCGCTTTTTTATGATTCTATAAATCGTAGTTAAATTTTATATGAGGCTTCTTATGCGTTAAAATGTGTTTATCATGAATAAATACATGACACATGTACGTCGTCACTATAACTGATGAAACAGTGTGGTTTTCACCACACCTATTCCACTGATAAGCTCACTATCCATAGAAACAAGCTTTCTACCTCATTTCTAAAAGAATAACAGACCAGAAACTAGAGTTTTAGCTGAATACAGCTGTTTTTCAGGTAAGTTATTGTTAGATAATGTTCTTTCTTTTGTTAATTCTTAATCTCTTCATCACAAAAGCTGTCGTTTAGTTTGCTTCTATTTACTAAACGTGACTTATATTTTGAGATTTTTTTATAACATTAAATGTAAGACGAATACTGTTTTTTTGAATAATTTAAGGAAAATGTGGATCCTGTAATAGCAATAAATCGTTTTATGACTCGATTTTTTTAATAATTATTTTTAGCTCGTAAAAATGATAAAGTCGCGACAAAGATTAATGATGATACGTTCAAATATTTTAAATATTAATTATATAAAGTTGAAATTTTATTTTTTTCTATATAAATTTACACTTACAACGAAGCAAACCGCACCTTAGTAAAGAATTTATCCCGGTTTATGACGAAAAATTTTTAAAATTGATGTTTTGGGAAAAGAGTAAATAAATGTTCATTTTTAATGAATTATAATTTAATAATTCAAAAAAAATGACCTAGAGTATATTTTTTGTCGTCTATAATGTTCGAGTTTTTATATATTTACGTTGTAAATTGAATAAAACTAAAACAAGGGCAGAGGAAGAGTCAACGTCCAGGCGTCGTCGAAAAATCGGAAAAGAGATAAACAGCCTGCTTTCAGGAAAGAATTATGTAGCCTATTGCATAGCGGTTACCTATAGCTAAAGGCTTGAGATTTTAATATCCTACTTATCAATGATTTGGGAGTATCAACAAACCCATGGCCTTGTTAACTCATCGAGAACGACCCTTTGTTGACCAAGCGTAACATCTACATATCGAAGTAAATAGAATGTATCCGACATTTTCACCTTTCTTTATCATTTTTCGTAGAAAATCTGCGGAAGTGTAGAGCAATTCAGGTCATAAATTTTTATTTAACTTAAAAACTTTCTCCTCGATGAAGTTCTTTGCTCTGTAATGAGATTTTAAAGTGGAGTAGGTTGTTTTAAAATGGTTTATTTCTTCCAGAATTTAAATAAATGAGTAAAAGTAACCAGGTAAGTTTTAACTAGTTAAACAAACTGTAGATTATTCTGTTTCTTACAATGCTAGACTTGGATCAATCAGTAATCAAGTTACTAGCGAGAAATTTGATTTGTAACCGGACCTAACTTTAGTTAGACACTCAGTAAATTATATTAGTCAATTATTAATGGCTTTAGCTGTAGTAAAAACTTTACTTTTGTTAATAAAAGTGTAAGTGGATCCCGGAAAAACGTCTAAAAATTATATATTGTAAGCCTGTGATTTTAGTTCCACAGTATTGAACTTTATAGTTAGTGAGTAAATGGTACATACACGATGCAATTTTAATTTCTTCAATAAATCTTTCTCTTTTTTTCAGTCTAAAGACTTTATTAATGTAACCGAAATGAAGAATACTGATTAAATTTTGTATTGGACAAGAACAATTTCATTAAGGATAAATTAATTAGAAAAATTAAAATGAAAATTTCTCGCATGGGAGACAGAAAAATGTCAAAAATAAAGTTTAAATAATTTAGAATATTTCTAAGCAGTTAGTTGAATATTCCTATAGGAGGATCAGTTAAATTTGTGTATCTTTTAAGGAAATTTTACAGGAATTTCTCATTTTCTCATTACATTTTTTTTTTTCCTAACTTTGATTAGATTTTAAAAATGCCATTTTACTGATCTCTGATATAAATCTTACATAATTAACTTTGAATATATCAATAATAAATTTAAAAAGTTTGCTTAATTCATAAAGAATTATAATTAAACTTATTCAAACTATTTTTTTAAACTCTGCCTCGAGGGCACTGTGCATTAAAAACTGCATTTTTAAAAATTTTAATAAGTTTATTATTATTTTTATTTATAATAAGGTTGCTTACGGATATTTATAGTTTAAATTTTTATTTATACAGGTTTAAATTCATTAATATAATAGCTAACGAAGCGAAAAAAACTTGTTAAGTTACTTATAACAATGAAAAACCTTAGCTAAAAATATAACTAGTTATAAAAATTGCATTATTAATAAATTTAACTAATTTTAGCAACTATAAGGGCAATATAAAAGTTATAAATAGTTTATTTATGGTATTAAATACACATTTTTATGGTATTTTGAAGGTTTTGATAATGTTTTATTGTTTATTATCATTACTAACACACAAAAGAGTCGAGTTTAATATAATTTTTGAAAGGAGATAGTGATTAATGCGTTTCACTTCTAACAGAAAACGTGTAATGACATTGCTGACATGATACATTAAGCATATCCAGATCATGCAGAAACGAAACGAAAGCATGAACAAAAACATTAGTACTAGAAAAGAAGTAACAGCTTGATAGAAGAGCTTCATTTTCAGGTAATTTTCTGCTGATGTATTACTGTTTGCATTTATCTTCTTCTCTAATACACGTTTCGAAGGAAATGCATTAAAGGAAATTGCTTAGAATGTTTATCTGTTATAAATCCATTATAAATATTGTTATCTTTAATGCATAAAAAGTATACGAGAATACATATACATATATAATTAAATCAAGTTGATGATGGTAAATTTGAGTTTGGCTTTGTATAATAATTGAGTGTACAATAAATGAAATATTGAAACAAAGAGGGAAACGACTTGAAATGGGTACAGGAATATAACAATTATTAAACAAATACGAATAAATTAATTTAAAGAAAGAATAACTTTTGGAACTTCATCAACCATTACTTGCGTGTTAGAAAAATGAGTACAGACCAAACACGGTCGTAGCATGAGGAGATGTGAAAATCTACTCAAACATTTCGCTTATACAACCAATTATCGCTTTGGTAAAGTTCCAAAAATCGTTATTTCATCAAGGAAAACTCTAATTAATTCATCTTTATTTCATACTTATTCAGTAAAATCAGTAATTGTTACGTTCATAAATTCCCTATAAAAATCTCAAGTTTGGTTCTTTGTTTTAAACGCTTCAATTATAAGATACACGACAATTATAAAAACCCAAACTAAAATTTCAAATCAGTAGTTTGTTTTAATTTTATAAGTAAAATTCTGTATTAGTGTAAATCGAAATCACATAATTTGATAGTTACCAATATGCTGTGAGGAATTAATGATTAATTCATAAAGCTTTTACCTTGATACAATTTATTCATCTTATTATCTTCTTATCTGTAAGCGTTTATCGTACTTTTGATATTTCTTTAATCATAAGCCGCTTAATCGAGGTCGAGGAATGGTTAAGGGTTAAAAAAAATTCACAAAATAATGCGGTCATTGCAAACTTGTTTAAAAACGACTGTCATGGTTTTGCTTTCCAGCAAGAACTTCATCACTCCTAAAGATAAAAAAAAAATAAATGTATTTTTGAGATGAGGAAAATAATTTTTAAACATTTCAATCTTACATTTTCTTGTTCCCATTTCTGATATCACGCCTTACTCTTTGGGGACAAATTCATAATCCCTTGTAGACATACACTAACAATACTCGTGCACGCATCACCTAACTATAAATGCGAATTATTTATGAAGAAAAAACAACTACACAAGTTTATTTGCACTCGAAAATTCAATCCTCTTCACTAAAACGTGTTCCAAAACCATATTTCATCCATTTTCAGTGAAGCCGAAGCCCCCAACAGTCATTCAATACATTTCGTGGATTAACTAGTTGAGCAGCTGCATCACGTAGAACCTAAATTTTGTATGGATACAAATGTGGCTACGTTAATAGCATTCGATACACAGTTGACTTAATCAGGGGATATTCAATTGATAGATTGGACGAATGCGGGCTTCTCACTCAGAACAAATCATCTTTTCAACAGTATTTCGTGCAGGCTGTAGAAGAATAATGGCGTTAAATTATACAAATTTTAAGCTAAAAAATTATCATATTGAATGAAATTTTGTAACCTGTATAATAAAAGGTATAATCTACTGTTCGTTCTAATTTATCTATCTTTTTTTAAGTATCTATAAGTAATCACCTTAAAACTCAATTCCATTTTCATCTTTATCTTCCGCATGATCTAGATACTGTATGTTTAATTTATTATATTATCCTAATGCTCATTCCCATAATATGAAGATTGCCAAAATATTATACAATAAAAATTACTATAATATAATAATTTTTTAAAATTATTCCTATTCATATATAACTATGATAACAATAAACAATACCTCTTAAAAATTGTAATTTATTTATTTAAATGCAGTTAAAATAATTGTAGACGATTCCTTTTTAATTTATTATTTATATATAACAAAATTTCATGCATCTATAACAATAAAATGCAGCATTAACTCGATTTATTAAGTGTTTATATGCATTACATTCACAAAAGATCTAATTTTAAACCGTTTCATGATTTAAATTTATTCATTAAAGCAACTATAGGAATAATTTTATTATAATATACGTTATTTAAATCAATTCTAAAAGAGTACTTGAACTCATAAAATATGTAAATTTGAGCAGTTATAAATATGAATTCATTATATGCAGCTGCATTAACAATACGCAATGTATATCCTATGCTAACTCACAATCGTCGTTTCTCATCTGTATTACTTCATCAGCTATTATAATATAATTTTTATTGCTTTAATAATAAACTATTAATATTAATAAACAACTTTATGCAGCTGTAGCAATAATAATAATTTTATCTGAAAGCAGGAAATTGGTTAAAACCGCTTTGCGGCCTTCACGAAAACCTAAAATTAAATTATTAAAATCTGCAAATGTAGCAATAATTTTATAAAATTTAATGGTTTACACAAGATGGCCCCAAGAATTATTTAAAGTAGCTTATGTAGCCATATATGTAATAAAAATAAAAATATATGGCGATTTAAATGAACCATAACTAATTTTATGTACTTAGTTTCGGCAAAAATAAAAGTGTAGACAAGTGTCTATATAAAATTACACTGTTATAACAGGTTATAAAATATTCTACGAATCTTCTCTGCTTGTATACATTCTTATTTTGGTGCTATTATGGTGTAAAAAAAGCAAATTTTATATGCTCAACATGGTAACTTCCGCTATAAAAAATTGTTGAGAAACAAAGATCACATTGGTTATATAAAATTTACCATTTAGCTACGCTCTGATAACATTTTCCCCCGTTCTGGCTGATTTAATATAATTTATAATAATTTAATAACCCGGAAGCATATGGTTTGGGATTCGAAGACAGTTTAACGAATCGTTGTCTGTCCTTTCTCTATACAAAAAAGGGAAAAGGAATTGTTCCGTTTCCGCAATTCTTTCTGTTTTTCCCTGTATTTGTTGAATATTTATATATTTTTTTCTTTAAATATTTAAAAATAGTACGGTTTATCCTCAGACGTAATCTCTTCTCCCTTCACTTAATGTTCTCGTCCCGTTATCATGGCAACAGAACAAAGGACGGAAGACATCGAAGGAACTGAAGATCGATACTTCTACATATCCGTTCAGTCTAATGAGCATAAATACATTTTTGACAATTATCTTTAGTATCGAAGACAAGTTTAATCTCGAGAAATTTCAATTTTCAGTATAAATTTTCCATTTTATTTATCGGTTTTCAGTAATTTTGACTCCTCTTTTCTCTGCTCAGCGAAGAAAGAACGATACTGTGTCTTGTTTATGAATACGATATTAAAAAATCCGTTTGTTTGTCTGAGCTTCTATTGCCGGAATTTAATACTACAAACGTAAACCTTAATGATATTTAGATTTTACATCATTTTAATCAAAAATTATGTTTATGACTATTGAAGTAATTGCTAAGATATTTTTATCGTTAATTTTTATTATAAAATATTAAAATATTTTTAAAATTAGGAGAAATATGTTTAATATTTAAAGACTAAAAATAATAAATTTAATTTCTTCAATAAAAATATTCTTTAAAAGAACATTTTTAAATAAATAAGCTGTTTATATTCTTTAAATTCCATAAAAAAATAAAATGTATTGAATATTTTTATATAAAATATAAGTAAAAATATTTTAAAAATTTAATT